AAGTTTTTGCTTTAACTTTTGATAAAGATGTATTCTGGCGAAATAGACTTGAAGTTATAAAAATTAATTCGAAAGAATTGTTTTCAGAAAATGTACTTCTCGTTTTAAACTAGCCCAAAACTAAAAACAATTTCCCTATTTCACTACATACGAAAGCGTGCAGCTTGACTTTTAAATTGTTTCGCCAGAAACTAAGTTAAAATTAACGCAAACTAAAACACCAAAGTTTTAAACACTTATTTAACTTAGACTGCTTAAAATTCGCAGTCTATGTGGTTGGAGTATGTAATTTTAGCGTGGAACCGCTTTGATAAATGTGGCATTTATAAATAACAATATCATTTTCCACAAATAAGTCGTCGGGGAAAAGTATTTAATTCTCTTTGTTTATGAAAAACTCATTTGTTTTATAAAAAAAATATTAAATTACTTTAACATGGATCTTCTCCTTTAAAATTTTTTTAATTGTTGAATGTTCTAGATGGAAGGCACTGAAATATTTTTTAATTATGAACTATAGAATATAAACCTAGATAGCATGCATTTTAAAGAAGTGCCCCCCTAAGGGCTATCGCATTTATATATCTATTGACCGAGAGTTTTAATACAATGCTAACATTTCTTGTTATACCTGATGTTTTAGTCATTCATCAAGGTTTTTTTCCTTACAACTAAACTCATATGATTGTCTTAAATGTATGACAGTTTTTATGTTTTGGAAATTGGAACTTTTCTGCTTTTAAAAGTTTTTGGGGGGATTTATCATTATTTTCATAATTAATTTTTTTTGCATAAAACTATCTTATGACATAAAATTTTATTATTGTGTGCATATACTCTTTAGTTAACTAAAAAAATCGAGCTTCTATAGATAAAGCTGTGCTTTCGGGTCTTGCCATAGTAACCAGCAGTTTATTTTAACACTGCATTTTTTCGTTGTCTAGCTTTGTTATTTAAGCAAAACTACTTTCTTTTTCTCTCAGCAATGTTGAAATTTAATTGTTACAAAAGTAATAAGGAATCGTTACTTTGTTTCAGTCATTACTATTTTGATTGTGGTGCGATCAACTTGTTCTTATTAAGCTCTTTTCATAAAAGCGTTTTAAATACTCTCTGGCATAAGGAGATGGTTTAAAAAGATCTGCATGTTCTTTTCCGAACTCAGTTGCTATTCAATGTACAACGTTGGACTGGGTGAACCTTGTTCACCAACAATTGAGTTTGCTGAGCTAAGCAGAATTTTTGTTCTGTGCGGTCCAGAAAGATTAATTTAATCTTTTTGGATGTCAAGAGCATCAGCACGTTTTGAAGGTTATGTTGTGTCTGGACTTTTCCTTTCTGTTGCTTTTCCTGAGTGTTTTTGCTTAAAAACAATTAAGAATTAAATTATTGTTTGCATTTCAAACAGTTTTTGGCCGAAATACAGTTAAAATTTCCAAAAATTATTAATTTTAAATTAGCTGAATCTCAATATGGATACTTAAGTATTTTCTCCAACTACTGATCCACTTGCACTGGAATCTTTTTTGGTATCTTCCAAATTTATTTCATTGCAGTAATTGATTTTAAAAAAATAATAAATACAAATATAAATTATTGCATAAAATGAGAGGCAAAAAAATGAGATAATATTTAAATTTGAACCATTTCCAATGTATATTTTTGGATTTGGTGAAAATGGTCGGCAGGATAACACTCAGGTACTCATGTGATAGTTAAACACGTAATTCAAAATGTGCCAAGTTGTAGTTTTAAATTTGTCTCTGATGTTAAGAGATCGTTATAGCGTGAAAGAAACTTTTCATCGCAAATTCTGTTTCATTTTCATGAGTAATTTAAAACTTTAAGTATAGAAAAAGTGAATTCAGGCAAACCTAGAGTCATAAAGTTCTGATCGCTGATAAAAATTTCATCAAGGATCAAAATGCAAGTAAATTATTAGAAGAGAGCTTCTCCATTGCGTAATCCTAAATAATCTTATCGTAATTTTCATAATTTGTTTTCATTTTGATATTTTGAATAATTCCTTTCAGCATTTGAAACTTCGTGGCTTACTCTAGATTTGTCTGAACTAATTGTTTTTGTACTTTAACTTTTAAATTAATAGGGGTGGAGAAAAAGAATTTGCGATGAAAAGTTTTCCCCATAGTTTGGCGTCCTTTTAAGTTACCTGCATTCTCAGTATTATCTTCAAAATTAAAATTGACAACTTAAAGAAATATTTGTAACCAGCGTAATGAATAACACTTCCATAAATATACAAATTTCTAATTCAAGTTGCACGGAAATTTAGCTTTGAGAAATGTAGAATTAATATCTATACCAAAATTCCAATTCTGATATTAAGTGGAAACTTTTATCAGACAAATAAACAAGAGGCATTTAAATGAACGAAAACTTTTAAGTGTTATTACGAAATAGTAATACCATTAAAATATGAATTATGTATTTAATGGCGTCTAAAATCAATTCGTTGTTATAAATGTATGCACTCGAATTATCGATTCACCAAATTATAAAACAGAAAAATATTTTTGAAATTTTTTTTATTTTTATTTGTTAATAACCTGGATCTTTCCATTCAGATATCGTTGTTTTAAAAATCGTTGCGTTCTGGCATTCAAAACTAATAGTTTTTGTTGTAATTGTTTTTAAAAAATTGAGTTTTGAGTGAATTACGTTTTATTGCCATGTTTTGTCGTCACAAGTTTCGGCTTTACTGAACACCAAAAACAGTGGCAACTATTTTACGTACATTTATAAACATTTATGATGTATCTACAAGAATTATTTTTCTTGTCTTATTGAACTTATAGTTAGTTAAAAAAAACAAGAAAAATATAGTAATAGTTTTATTGAACTTATAGTTAGTATAGAGTAGTTAACACCAATTTTGATGTTAAGATTAACTGAAAAATTTTATACCGTATTCTTTTATTAATACATGCAAACTACACTTGAAACAAATAGGGGATAGTCGGTTAGCCCCGCCCACTTAAGGACATATAAGGCAACGTTACTTTTAAAAAGAGTAAAAGTACAAGTATTTTTTAAAAAAGTAACGAGTAAAAAGTAAAAAGTTCTTATTTTAAAAAGTAACGAGTAAAAAGTACAAGTAAAAGTACAAGTACTAAACAAAAAAAGCAACGATTTAAAAGTGCATTTCTAGGAAATCGAAAATTCAAAGTAACCTGAAATTTTATTGAATAATATTCTTATGTTCTTTAATGTTTTTGCAAAATTGTTGTTATTTATTTAATTA